AAGACTATTGTATCGTAAAAAATTAGGTTTTTATTTTGTACAAACAAAATAAATATATTGAAAAATATAAAAATAATAAAAAATTATACTTCAGATGTTAATTTAGTATCAAAAACGTAAAATATTTGAGTAACCCAAGACATAGCCAAAGATTGAAGCGCCACAGCACTGGCGAAAATTTAAATTTGCCGACTGGAATTCTTTTGGATGATTGACTTTCGGAAAATCGACGCTCTACTGTATATGGTTTCTTTGACTTTTTACTTAGTCTAAACCCCTCATTCAGAACTAATTTTACCTTCAAAAGATTATTTAAAATAATTGAATCATTAGAAAAGTATCAAAATTATTACAATTTATGTAATACAGTATTTATTTTCAATAAAATAGATATTTTTATTGAAATAGTAAAATGCCATTTAATTTTTAAAAAATTGTAAAAAGTTTAAATATATTTTATCATCATAAATTACATAAACTTTTTAAATATAATTTTAATTACAGCAAAAGCTTTGATTTATAATAATTTCATTTATTTATTCTCCAGGATCACCTGTCCAACATTCATCATTCTTTTCTACGAAAGTTATATTAGAAACTTTTAACCTGTTCAAAATTTATTAATATTAAGAACTTTTGGAGTCATAGTTTAAAGATATGTATCTGTATTTATTTACATTTTATGCTCAACAGCTGGATATTGTAATGGAAGCAAGATATCTCACTCTAAGAACCAGCCTTGAGCAATACAAAAAATGTTTTTTGATTAATGAAATGGGTTTCTAAGATGGATATTGTAATTATTTAAATATCATATTTGAATTTCCTCCAGATGAAAAAAGTTTATTGCTTTTTTATACAGATAAAAAAAACCCACAAAAAATAGCAAAATAAAAATGCATTTTATGAGAGATGAAAGATTAATAAACATTAATAAATTAGACATATTAAGATGCTAGCAATTCATTTGATTCTTAATTGCTATATAATAGAATTTATCCTAAATACAGTATTGATTTTTTTATACATATACACTATAGACAAATAAAATATTGAATTAGATTATTTTGATCTCTTAGAAAGTAAATTAATTCAAAATGTTAAATGTGTATTTAGGTATATGCCAATGTCTAATAAAAAAGATTTTGTCATTTAATTAAATATTGAGATAAACTAGTAAATATTTCTAATCACAATAAACATACATACATTACTAATTTCTCTAATTTGTGACTTTGAAATCAAATGTGCATTAAATTTTGTATAATTTCATTTCTACATGAAAATCTTTGTGCATATTTTATTTGAAAGTAAAATCAATTTAATATGAATAAGAATATTGTAAATTAACAGTCAAATTAATTATTGTTAGATCTGATAATAATAATAATAATTTATTAATTTTGATTTTGTAGTATAATAAATTACAAAAATTCAAAATGTATTTACAACTGCTAAATTGTGAATATATTTTGAATATAATACAAAAAAGGAATTTTAAACCAAAATAGAAAATATAGAATAAATAACATATTTGAAAAGAGCTGAAGAAAATAATATTTGCTATATATCTTTTGAAAATCATTATCTTGAAATTGTTAACCAATAACATTACAAAATTGATATACTGTAACTGTAGTTAGAAAGTGAGAAAAAGAATTCAACTATTGGAAAGAAAAAAAAAATAATAAAACACATAAAACTTACAAATTTACCAATCAAAACATGGATGGCATCTCAGAGATCATAAGATGTCAGTACACGACATAAAATCATTAGAAATATTCTCTCTATTATTATTAGTGGAACTCTTAAGTATCTTAATAATGAATCATAAATAAAGCAAAATACATTTATTAAATATGCACATAAATAGTTTTGAAAGTTACATGATTTTTAAAATTTATTTTATGAATAAAATGATTATTATAATTTTTTAAAACATCTAGATGATAATTTCTATGAATTTTGCTGAATGAAATTTTTGGGAAGCTTCATTTAACAAAAATCACATTTTAAGCAAAATTATTTAAAGAAATGGCATTAAAGAACACTGTTTTATCCTCTGTATCCACAGAACAAGTACATGTTATTTCATGTAGAAATTTCATTATTTCTACAAATTTGAAGAAAACTCTTATCTCTAGTTTATTTGTAGATAAGTTACTTCCATTTCTAAATAAATAGTAAATTTTCAGAATTTATTATTTATTTTTAAACGTCTTTAGTAAGAATGGAAGAAAACAATGTTATCAATTCTCTAATATGCTTTATTTTTCTTGAAAAACTGATAAATTGTACATAAAAATAATTCAGTTATACTTCATAAAAAAGCTCTAAATTTGCTAATATTCTTTGCTTTTTTATTGTGTAGTTGAGTACTTTAGTTTTCTTGAATAAAATTTGTTATTCAATAAAAAAAAATATTTAAGGAAAATAGTAGTTTTTAGTAAAGTCTTTGTTGACAACAGATCAATTAAAGAAATTATGTTTTTATCTAATTAAAATTTTATTATTCATTTTATCACAGGTCAGAAGATAACTTTATACAAGTTCTTGTTAAAAAACCTGTTTAAAGTTGTTTCATAAGAATGAATTCAAATTTTAATTAAGAGACACAAATCAGTTTCTACACAATCTGACTTTACTTCAATTTCACATTTACAGCAACTTTTCCAAAAATTGTTGACTTATAAACAATATATATAAATCTAATTAAATGAGCAAAATTTCCTGCTTGTTTTGAAATTTCTAAATTCATATTGCTTTTTTTTAAGTTCTTGATTACATTTTCCATTTTTTTTCTTTTTAACCTAAACCAAATATATTTATTTTCCTGGAGTGCATTTAACCTGAGATTAAAACCTAACCAAGGATTGATAGATACTTTTTGTAACATTTAAATGTCAAAGTCCTGGAAAAATATGCTACAGTTCCTTAAGCCAAGTATCATTCAATCCCTTTCTTTAAAATTTTTCTATGCTGTGATAATAAAATTAAATTGGTGCCTTTCCAATGTATACTGGAAGTATGAGAATGACCAGTGATCTAGACAGCACCAACTAGTTTCATTAGACCACTTGTGTCCATTGATTTAGGCCTTTCGATGGGTAGACCCATAGCTCTATCCCAGATAAGAGAAGATAGTACACCCAGAGCACGAGAGACACCAAATAAAACTGTATAGTACTGCATCTCCTTCATTCCAAAATGCTGAAAAAAGAAATATTTAATTAGTTTTGGATATAATTGCATTAATAATAATGAATCTTAAAATAATTTTTCAATTTACAAACAGATTATAATCTATTTGTAATGCATATTTTGATTTTTATTGTAAGAATTATAATTAAACTTTATCTTACTGTTTTATAATTGAAAATTATTTTCTAAAGAATTAGAATTTAAGTTAGTAGAACTAAAAGAATAATGAATGTACAGAGTAATAATATTTTCCTAAAGAATAACTGTACATTTCTAAAATGTTATATCTCTGGTGGTTTTTTTGATGCTTGATAGTGTAATAACCAAAGCAGACATAGCATAACAGCTCATATCAACAAGTAGAGAATCTCTCCAAGTTTACATTTGCAATAATCATTGACATGTGCACTTCAGATTTTTGCCACAAGGTTGTAATGAAACATGGCATTCACTGATTAGAAGAAAGATTTTTCAAGAAATATCAGAAATTTCTATGACAGGCAAAACAATTCATGCAATACACTAAGTTTCAGAAGACTGGCTGCTTGTGTGCTTCAAAAACAGACAGGATGACCAGGACCATTTACTGAGAGAGAATCTAGCTTGTTCAAGAAAGTTCCGTCCAGAGCTCTTGCAAATTGCACCAGCTTGGAATTGCAGTTCTCATAAACCAACAATCTGGCATATTCTATGCAAACAAATACAATATGGTTTCATTCAAAGATGTTCACGTAGAATATGCCAGATTACTGTTTGTTAGTTCTACAATTCCAAGCAGGTGCAATTTTTTGACTTCCAAGAGTCCTGTCTGTTTTGAAGTGCACAGACAGCCAGTCTTCTGAAACTTAGTATATTACATGAATTGTTTTGTCTGTCACAGTGTCTGTGTGATAGTTCTTGCAAACTCTCTGTTAAACTATCACAACAAACTTGCATTTTGCAAATTCTAAGACACAAAAAGCTTTCTTCTCATCAGTGAATGCCATGTTTTGGCATGACTGTCCCCTAGCAGCAAAATCTAAAGTGCATGTGTCAACAGTTATTGCAAATGTCAACTTGGAGAAATTCTTTACTTATTGATATGAACTGTTCTGATGTGTCTGCTTTTGTTATTACACTAGCAGGCATCAAAATCCCCAGTGGGATTTATGAATAATCTGTATAATAATGTTATATAATTCATAAAACAGAAATTTCCTTTTGTAAAAATATTGCAGTATTCAAATGTGTAAATGTAAAATACCTTAAGAATTAAATTTGCTGATAAAACCATATGTATTTTTATATTAATATTTAAAGCTTCATCAGGTAATCAAATTATAAAATAAATTTTCAAATGAAATACCATCTTATAATTTAATTATTCTTTCTACTTAAGTGTATGTTTTATTTCGAAAACATTTCATTTTATAAAAGTTTTAGTTTTGAGTGTCATAAGCTGAAATTGCAATCAAAAGCTCTAATTAAATGACTGATGAAGCTTTAAATATAAGAAAAGTACCCATTCAATTTTTATTAGCAATTAATATGCATATAAAGATAATTTTTAAATATATAACACTACTATCTTTTTTTAAAATCAGAATGGGAATTATGAATGTAAAGCTGATGATTTCATTATGATGATTGGCAATAAAGTTTTGACAAGTGAAGAGCATTAAAATGCAGTTATTCCGTATTGAATGATAAAAATATGATTATCATCATCATTGAAAATCAGGGTTTAGAATTTTCAGATATAACCCTTATATTTATATTTTTGAGCATTGAGTGTTTTTATTTTGGTATGATATGATATAATAAACTGTTTATATATATATATATATAAAAATGGACATATATGTCCCTATATTTCACTTTTT